TGATGGCTGCACAGAGCAGTAGAAGTAGGGAGCAGCACCTCATTAGACACTAGAATGTGACTTAAAAACATGTAAATATGTATATTGTGAATGTACATGTATACTTGTGTTGTATTTGTAGTCATATATACCTTATATATCTTAGCACAAAAAAGTTGACAAGATTTGTGTGTGTGTGTGTGTGTGTGTGTGTGTGTGTGTGGGTGTGGGGGGGTGTGTGTGTGGTGTGTGTGTGTGTGTGTGTTTCTTGTAAAGGTGTATTTTTAGTTCCCATATTTGACTATATTAAATAAAGGAACACTTTTCCCCCAATTGCTCTAATAAATCTAAAATTCTGGAATCTGCTAGCTCCCATACACCATGGGAGAATGTAAACTGACAAGATTTGTCATCTTGTGTGACTATCTCAAAGGGATAAGCTTTGACTCATGGTACCTTTTCCCTTTGGTTACCTGGGTTTCTCGGAACATGAACTTCAAAACAATTGCACTTCTAGTAGAACTAAGGACAGCAGTTTCAAAGCTGTGTTTCTAATATTTTTTCTACAATCACTTTTGACCTATTGTTTAAACACTTGATCTAATGTACATGATGAATACAAACATCACGCTGCTTTCATTATGAGTTTAACCTCTAGATTTCACAGCAGTCTGTAAAATAATAACAGGGACCCAGCTGTCCAGTGCATCCCAGTTGGTGTTCTTGCCATGCCCTGCTGCTTCCCTTGGAGTAAACTCTGTGCTTGGAAGGGCATCAAGTCTCTCAAGTCACTGACACTCACCATTTCTGTTAGAAACAAGTAATTTCATACTTAGAAGATGCTCTTGGAAAAGCCACACACACCCCACTGAGCATCTTTAATTTCCCAAATTACCTGTATGCTTTGAGTAAACAACCTCATTTAAGGACAAGGTCTTCAGTTCACCTAAGAGGTTGTGTGACTCTACAGTGAAGATAAGAATAAAATAAGAATGCATACGCAGCTTTATTTGTTCTTTTATTTGTTAAGAAGAAACAGGAAGTCCTGATTCTGAAGATCAAGGCTTAATCATTTTTTATTTAAAGTCTTTAATTACCACTCATATTTACATATCTGTCCCCCATTCCCTCGCCCTCCCATCCTCCGATGTTCCCCACTAGCCCCCCCTAACCCGTTCCCCAACTCCTTCCCAGGAACAGTGAGGCCCTTCACCAGGGACCTTTAAAGTCTATCATATTGTTTGGGGGAGGACCCAGGCCCTCCATGCTGTATCTGGGCTGCAACAGTATCCCTCCATAGGGAATGGGGATACTACTGGAATTCAGTTGTGGAGAGGGAGGAGGGAGGAGCAAAGGAGCCAAGATCAGGCTGGAAAAACCTGCAGAAACAGTGGACCTGACCTAGTGAGAACACAAAGACCCTAGTAATAAAGCTGTGGAAACAGCATTGGACAGAACTAAGCCCTCTGAATGTGGGTGCCAGCTAGTAGGCCAAGACAGTCTATAGGACCTCTAACAGTGGAGCCAGTCTTCAACCCATTCCCTATGCAAGGTTTAATCTTATGTTTTGCATTTATATTGCTCTGAAACCTCTGCCCTGTCACTCAAAGACTTTGATTGATGCAAGAACATATCAGATTAAGCTACGATTTAAAACCTCATGATTAATGGTGGCTCCCACCTTTAATGTCAGCACTCGGGAGGCAGAGGAAGGTGGATTTCTGAGTTCAAGACATCCAAAACACATCCCTTGGGGCTGGATATAGGTGTTCCTAACCATGCCCGCCAGGGTGACTTGAGGAAGTTTTAAGAATGGGGAGCACACACGGTAGCCCTTCTTCCCTTTTATCATCAACTTGCTCTACTTATTCCATTCCCTGCTGGCTGGCTAGGTTGCTCTGTAAGTAAGGCATCTCCCTAATAAGTACCCTAATACCTTTACCTGGCTCTGTATTGGTAATTCCTCCTTTAAGCCTGCTCTACAGAGTGAATTCCAGGACAGGCAAGTCTACATAAAGAAACCCTGTCTGGAAAACAAACAAACAAAAAATAATTAAGACCTCGTGATCTGGTCCAAGATTTTTTACCTTAGGCAGCACTGTGCATTCTGCCTTCAATTCTCTTGCTTCCTTTTGTGATGCTGTTGTCATTTCTTTTTCACTTCCTTGCTTAATGCCTTTCTGGCCTTGTCCATGTGATGAAAGCTGATGACATAGAGCCTGCTAACAAGATTAAGCTAGGTGTCCTCCTGAGGTAGACATGGTAGAACTGAGCTATAGTAGAGCTTTGACAGAACTTTGAAAGCTTCTGACTTGATAGCCAGGTTTCATTGTTCTTCTGTATTTCTTGTTTGGTAATAGACCTTTCTCTCTCCAGCCATGCTCAGTGATTTATAATCTGCAATATACATCTTCTGAAATGCAAACCAAAGCCATTGTCCGGGCCACACTGGAGTTTGGGTTAATGAAAACTGATGGGCATTCATTACTAAATGTGCTAGACATCCTTCCTAGAGTTATTTGAATTTCAGGCAATTTGCCATTCCCACAAAAAAGAAAAATAAGAACCCTAGATTTTCATACAACCTGGAAAGACTGTTAAACCTTGAAATGCATAAGTCAGCCTCTACCCGCAATAAATACTACAGAAACAGCATTAATGGTTAAAAACAGAAAACATACAAGTCACAGTCCTTTGTAATTTATGAAACAAGACATTAGATTCATCCTGAAACATATTACAACTTCACTAATCCCACAGATTCCCAAGAACCCTTAATAAAAAAAGTTGAATTTCATGTATTGCTTCATTTTTTACCTGCTTGGCAAATATTCCAAGTAGTTTATACTGAATATCAATATGTGAAAAGTTTGCTTATCACTCGGCAGTATTCTAGTATCCTGAGACATATGAGTGAAAGTTGTGCAACAGTAAACTAGCAGTTAATGTCGTGTGCTATATTCTGACAGTGTTCTAAGTGTTTCTTGTGTGCATGGTTCACTGTATGATGCCTATGTTTTCTTCAAGGCAAGGAGTTTAAGGGATGCACAGATAGACCAAATGAAAAAGTTATACATTCCACAGTGACATTAGACTAGGGTTTCTGTCATATGAAATGTCCTATTCTTATGTGCTGCTATGTCCTTTATCTTTGCATGTTGGCTATTAGCTTTAACTTTAAATTGAACAACCTGGACAAATAATAAAAGCAAGGACTCTTGAAGAGATTTGCAGTGTTTCTATGTACACTCCAAGCTCAGCATGGCATAAAGCCCAAATGTGTCCATATGGTCATTGGTGAGCATGGTTAGTCAGCAGCATCTTTTCCTCCCCTGAGAAAGATGGATAGAGATGTTTGATAGAATTTAGATAAAGACCTAGAATATTGGGTGGCAGTGTGTGTGCATGTATAGGTATAGGTATATGTATATATACATGGGGTAGAGTAGAAAGGAGATTTGTCTTTTTCTCCTCAGATTCTCTTATGCTAAATGAGATAATGATTGGAATATATAAAAATGTTTAATGAACTGTGTTTGTGATTCATTTTAACTAACTACTCTATAAATTTACTATTGTCTTCTTGCATTAGCTATTGAAAATGAGAACATTAGTGACTTTGTTAAACTTTCAGTTTTTGAGGTTTGGGGCTCATACCATAAATGCAATGATATGCATTTATGCATGATAAATTTTGAATATTAATTCTGCTCACAATAACATCAGACTACCTGATTTCAGATACTTTTATGTGGAATCAGATTTTATTGTATGTGTATCAATAAATAAGTTTGAGCTTGGTCTAAAGATAAGTGGTTACTCTAGTGATATGTATATCACAAAGGTTCATGGCCAAGGCTTGTTGGGTAGCAAATGTCCTAAGGCTGCAAGGACTGCCAAGTTACATTAAAGGAAGCCTTTATAGTTTGGAAAAGAGTTATGCTAGTCCTAGAGTTCTTACACCTTTTCTTTTTCATATCTCGAGAATCCTCAATAGAATGTGTCAAGGTCAAAAACATAAAGTGCTAACCAGGGAACCCCAGGGAAAGCCAAGATCTGAAAATAACAGCTGGCTTTCTAAAAGTAAAAGCCCTGCTGACTTGGCAACTTATATTATTGTGGTACTCTTTGGAAAGCCATGAAATCCTTGGAGAATGAAAGAAGGAAACAAAAAGATAAGAACAATGAAGGTGGGAGTGGTAAGTGTAAAACAAGATGAGAGAGAGAGAGAGAGAGAGAGAGAGAGAGAGAGAGAGAGAGAGACAGAGAGACAGAGAGAGAGAGAATAGAGAGCAAGGGGGCAACTAAAGGAAACATAGACTGAAAAAATTACTTTGTGTTAGAAAAATAAGTACAATTTTCAGCAGACTTGAAACTTTTGAATTTTGAAGAACATATCTCAAAACTTACAGAAGTTTGTCACCAGCATTAAGACTACCCTTCTGATGCCCAGTCTCAGTTGAAATGGGATATGTGAATGCTGTATGAAGTGCTCTAGTATAGCATGGTACAAATGTACATATAAATGGAAAACATAAATGCAAAAGTACATGATTGTGTCCACAATGATGAGATGCAAATGAACCGTGTTTCTTTAAAGCTTTTCTGTCAGTGTATTTCAAACTTACCCCAATAGAAAATCTAGCTGGATTTATTTAGCCTTGAAAGACTTGAGGTTCATACTGATGGTCAGAGAACTGTTTCACTTCTCTTGACTTTGCATCTACTTTTCTGGTATTTAAATAAAGAAAAATATAATAAAAATGATACTTTACAATAAAGTCATTAATATTGTTTGAATCCCATAATTTATAATGATTGCTGAGCATGTCATTCTCAGTTTTATAGTGGCTTACGGACATGTCCTGTCTAATAGTCATATCTTAATATATGCTTCAAAACAATGATAAAGAGAGTGGTATTCTCTGTCAGATAGTCCAGTCCTTTCTATTATATGAAAAGTCTGAGAGGACATGAAATTATTTTCTGCTTCTCCATCACTGCTTTTTTTGTTGTTATAGCGGAAAATGGCCCCCGTCTCCTCGTGGAAGCAGAGCAAGCCAAAGTCTTCTCACACAGAGGTGGCAATGTGACACTGCCATGCAAATTTTATCGAGACCCTACAGCATTTGGCTCAGGAATCCACAAAATCCGCATTAAGTGGACCAAGCTAACTTCAGATTATCTCAGGGAGGTGGATGTCTTCGTCTCCATGGGATACCACAAGAAGACCTATGGCGGATATCAGGGTCGAGTGTTTCTGAAGGGAGGCAGTGACAATGATGCCTCCCTGGTAATCACAGATCTCACTCTGGAGGATTATGGAAGATACAAGTGTGAAGTGATTGAAGGACTAGAAGATGATACTGCTGTGGTAGCATTAGAGTTGCAAGGTAGGTATTTTCATAAATGTTGTTAAACTTTGAAGGGATAATTAGTCACTACTCTTTTGTTTTCATGAGGATAACATGTAGTGGTTATCACAGTAGCAATGTGAGGACCCAAAAGTCTAAGACTAGCAAATTTTTATTCTTTTATATTTTGTAGTCTCAGATGATTTCAGCTTTCATGTTTGAGAAGTATGCACAATACTTCTGTGGAAAATTGAAGCTATTTACAAGGAGAAATGTGCAGTGAAAGTGAATTAATAATTTTTGGAAATAGTCTTAGGCTATTCAAAACTTAAATCCCATTTTGTGCTTATTGAGAAATTCAAATTAGATTCTTTTATTTTGCTTCTAAAATTATCTCCATTTCAAACTAATGGTAAGATTTGTAAAGGACATCTGCACTATAATATATGTAATTGTATTCTGTAAAATGTCTGCAAAAGTTAATTTAACAGAAAAAGTAACCTCTGGGTTTACTTAAATATTCTTGCAAAGAAGTAATTCTTTTAATGGCCCAGATTCTTTTACACATCAAATATCAAATAATGGAGGCATTTGGGGAGGATTTCTATTTTTTGAACATATTACATTCAATAGGTTCAAAACTCAACATGGATACAAGCTATAATGTGTCTTTGCCTTCATCTTGGTTCCTTTTTCAAAGATTTATTAATTATGCATACAGTGTTCTGCCTGCATGTATCCTGCAGATCAGAGGAGGGAACAAGAGCTCATTACAGGTGGTTGTGAGGCACCATGTGGTTGCTGGGAATTGAACTCAGGAGCTCTGGAAGAACAGCCAGTGTTCTTAACCATTGAACCATCTCTCCAGCCCCTCATCTGGCCTCTTAGTCATCTTTCTAGGAAAACTTTGGTGTTCAGAGTTTCTTATAGAGCTCAAGTCATCTTGTTTTCATGGGTTTCACCAGTGTTCTACACTGAAAAATGAAACTGGCTGCATTGGTTCGATGGCTTCTTTCACAAAATCACACACACACACACACACACACACACACACACACACACACACACACACACACACACACACACGCTTGCTAAGAGCTTTTATCCCATCCTAGAAAAAATTTTGATTTTGTGACTTTTGAAAATGATAAACACTGAAACTGGCCCTACTGAATCCCACAAGATTCCATCTGACACGTAGAGCTTCATCTGTTTGATCTCCCTCTTAAAATCCAACATGGAGCTCCATGGCTTCAGAACACATATTCTAACTGTAAAGAATTTCAGTGTGATGTATAGACTGTGGGTCTAGTTCATCCTAGTATGGGATGCTTTTTACTTTCAACATTTTTATAACAAAGTTAATAATTAAGTTTTTAGAGAAACTAATAAAATGTAAGCAAAAGTCTTGTGACTTTATAAAAGGATTGTATGACATTATGTTAAAATAGAACACAAATTATATATAAATATAGTAGACTGGATTTGGATACAAACCAGTCATACTTGAGATATGGAGAGACTATTAAAAACTTTTCTACTGCTCATGAGAAGCACCATGACACAAGACACATGATGGTGAATTTAAATCTCAAAGACTTTTCTGGGTCTTTAAAGCTATTACTAGTTAAAGTATCCTGTATTTCCCACTGTTCCCATCATGAACCAATTGGAAAAGAAAAGGTGACACACATAGATTATATCTTCAGATAAAGACATGGGTGAGGCTTTCTGCAATTTAATTTTTAGCTATCAAGAGAATCATTGCACCATAGATTATTTTCCTTCATGGGGACATATCTAGGATTGTGAAGAAAAGAGAACAAATGTCTTGGATACAGAGAGCATTGCAGCACTTCCATTCTGGGGTACACTGTGGTCCCAGCTGTACATGGTCAGAGAGCATCCTTGGAACCATCTCCAGGCTGTTCTTCCCCTTGCTGCAGCAGGAGTCAGAGGTTTTCCTTCTTCTCTTGGCTCTAATCCAACTGATAGATCCCTCGGCCAAAAACCCGAGAAAGCAGAGTAAGATCCGAAGCCTTCTTGGACCCTCGCCTACAGAGGCCTGTGCCAGCTGGACTGGTTTAGAGGAGCAAGGGGCAAGACTTGATTTAAAGCCTCAAAGTCCTCTTGTAGAAACATCCAGGATCATTTGGAAAAGAACACACTGGCCATGATTGGTTGTTAGAGAACTGTACATCATCTTGACTAGGATCTGCTGTTTGTAACACATAACTTAATGCCCATACAATTACTGGACCAGTGGGACAAGATGCCTGAATTCCAAGTGCTAAGATACTAATTAATTGTAAAAATACTTCTAAGAATGCTTGTTCTGGATTATCTTTTATTATTAACTATGGAGTAGATACTTTGCTGTCTTCCTTAGTATGCAGTAAATGACACAATTCTGAGTCCTTAGCTTGGGGATCCATCCTAAAAACAAACAAACAAACAACAACAACAAAAAAAAAAACATGTGGGACATGAGACAGCTCAATATCTCCCAATAATTATTGACCAAAAGAAATGCTTTTGAGAAACAGTCAAATACCAATTCATGCTTTTTGCTTTTACTGCGGACTGTCCTCTGAAATACTTGACTCTTCAAGACTAACCCATTCCCTAATGGATGTTTGCTCTGTACTCATCTTGTATAGCATAAGCTTGAGGAGGCAATTTTTAAGGTCCATTTATATTGAAAGTATTTTCAAAACTTCGGTTTTAGTTTGTAATATGGCATAAATAGAGAAGCTAAAACTGAAACCCATTTCAGGTCCCTTCCACACAGTACCTCTCTGGTACCTGAAGAAGTGCCTTTATTTCTCAATAGACTTTGCTTGCCTGGCCTGTAAATAAATAATACTGGAAATGTTTTAGGTAAAAGGCCTTGTTTTAGTTGTGTCAAAGGCAGGAATACATTAAAAGTTGAAACAAAGAGTTATGAAGCTTTGCATGGCATGTGCCTCATTAGCACAGGATACCTTATTAATAAAAAAACAAGGCTAGTGAGGCTTTTGTTAGATGTGCAAATTTCTCCAAGGAACAATCCCAAGGGGACAGTCACTTACTTGCATAGTATCAGGAGCACCTGTGAAAATAGGTGTACATGCATAGTTGAAGAATTCAACATACACCTTTATATGTGTCGAAGATGATATGAAACTACTTTCTAACTCCGTAACAGTAATGACCATGAAAAACATTGTGAATTTTTTTAAATTACCATGTATCCCCAGCACTACATTCTCCACCAGCATTACTATTAACTCTGATTGTTCCCTTCTCAGAAAAGTTCAGCAGTGTCTATCTATCCTGAGGTTGGTAATCAGTAGCAGGGGACATGTTCTCAAGACACTGCTTAGATGCTATAACCCATAGATGCATCTCTTTCAGAAAGGAGAAATTTTTAGCATAAGTTGCTCTTGGCACTGGAAACAAATCACTGAGGTTGTCAATCTAAGTAACAAACAGAAAATTGTGTGATGTTTATCACAAAGTGTGTGCCATGAAAAGGACTGAGAGAGATCACTGAAAGCTGACCAAAACATGGTCCATCTGGAAATCGCACTTTTTCTCCACATGCATCTGTACATAGACGTGCTCGGTGTTCTATCACTAATGACCTTTCCCTTCTCTTCTTTGGACAGGTGTAGTGTTCCCTTACTTTCCAAGGCTGGGACGCTACAATCTTAACTTTCATGAGGCACGGCAGGCTTGTCTGGATCAGGATGCTGTGATTGCTTCCTTCGACCAGCTGTATGATGCCTGGCGAGGTGGGCTGGACTGGTGCAATGCTGGCTGGCTCAGTGACGGATCTGTGCAGTACCCTATCACCAAACCACGCGAGCCCTGTGGGGGCCAAAACACAGTGCCTGGTGTCAGGAACTATGGGTTTTGGGACAAAGATAAAAGCAGATATGATGTTTTCTGTTTTACATCCAACTTCTATGGTAAGATGGTAGTTGCATTGCCTTCCTTTCTATTCCAGAGAACAAGTTGTCTTAAAACACTGTTTAGATTTTGGTGTTATCTTTAAAAAAATCAGCAACAATAAAAACCAACCATTTAAACTATTAGTATATTTTAGAAAGATAGACAAAATGCTTTTAAATCTTGAATGTTATAATTTTTTAAGTATCTATATAAATCAAATAGAACTACCTACCTCTGGTCCTCCTTTTCAACCATCCTGTTTTTATGAAGTAGTTGAAGTTACCCCATGGCTCATGTTTCACATTGCAATAGTGTGCTATCTCTGAACCATTGCTCTCTCTGCTGATGGAAGGAGCTTCCCCGCCATACATGCCATTGCCTGGTCACAACATACCTGATCAGCAAAGTTCAGACCAAAGGAGCACGGAGTGAGACAAATAAAGCCCGATGAGCATTGGGAGACAAATGTGGGGAAAGGCTCCACAACATAATGACTGACTCCTTGCACTCTTCCCACTGCCAGACCTTTTGGTGTGCTGTCCTGAACATAATCTTGGCGGCCTATCACAAAATGGAAATGTAGAAGCCTTTGTTCAAAATTGATTAAGAATTTTAATAATATGTTAAATTAATTTTAACTTTAATAATATAAATTAATTATATTTAATATTTATTAATAGATATACTAATAATTAACAATATTAAATATGTTACAAGCCTGTAATCCTATCATTTGGTAGACTAAGGCTAGAGGATTGTAAATTCAAGGCAAGCCCAAGCTATTCATTGACACTGTCTCTGGAAACAGATTTAGGGGGAAACAAAAAGAATGGGTAGTCAATATGCTCTCTCTGTTAAATAGGAAAAGATGTGAGACAAGTTTAATTTTGCTGACCATGTGGTCATTGCTACCCAACTGAACTTGAGTGTTGTGGCTCTGGCCATCACAGTATTGAAGCCATTCATGCTATTGAACAGATGAATATGTGTCCCAGGTAAACTTCATTCTCAAACATGTAGAACACATACTTGAACTATGGATTGCTGATCTGCCTAGATGGTAAACCAAATTCTCTAGTTAGTGATTGTTGCAATGGCTTTTACTCTTATTCCAAATCTCATTAGTTTAGGGAAGCAAGAACTGGTAGATATTAGTTTAGAATTTGGCAGCCTGTTTAAAGATAGGGGAACATTTCAGCTGTAAAACATTTGCCTCCCAAACAGGAAGAGCAATGCAGAAGCAGAAACAAAGTCATCCTTGGGATTCACTGGCCAACTAGGCTACTCTAATGAGAGGCCCTATATCAAAGGACATAGACAGCATTTCTGAGTATGACGCCAAGGATTGTGCCTCTAGCTGCCCCATGCATACACTCAAAACCATAAATCAATGAACACACACACACACACACACACACACACACACACACACACCAAAAGCACCATGCTTAACCAGTGAACATTATACTATATGATGTGTCTGATAAGAAAATTTGATATTATACTTGAAAGGAAGATGACTGAGAAAATATTCGGTGTCTGCCACTACAGTACATCAATGATACATTTTGTACATGTTATCATATTTCATCATGTTAATGGGATCTCAGTTACTAATACTACAGTAAGTGGTTGAAAGTAACAGTGTCCCTATGCAATGAAGAAACAGCATGATGTCAGGCTTCATGATGGAAGTTTTAAGACATTAAACCCCTCTGCCAGTAAGAAAGTACAGACCGGGTTTACATTCAGTGAGTGTATCATTGATGGCCAATGACTTCCTGTGTTTGAGGCATTTTTATGCTGTAGGCTTGGGTAGAGAATAAGGTCTTATTGATACCTGTAATGAAAAGAACTTGAGGGCTTTTGATTTTCTTAAATGGACTTTTATGTCAGGAATACTTTTTGATCCTTTCACATTCAAATTTTTCCTCTCTAGAAACTTGTACTGGGGTTCAGTCTTGCTACAAGTAGAATTTAAATAGCTCTTCTTTCAACGTGGAATTCTGTCGTCCCTAGAACCACAGAAGGCCCTTTTAGTCTCTAATTAATTAAAAGAACTGCCTCTGCCATCGCAAGGGGAAAGCGAATTTATTTAAGCTAGAGTGACCTATTAATATTTAGATGGCGATTCTATGTCCTCCAAATTTCAGGCATTGCTCTGCGTCCGTGTTCAATGAGAAGCACTTTAGCTTTTGAAAAGCTCCTTCGATCTGAGTGGTTCTGTCACAGACTGGCTGACTCTCTCCTTCTCTCCACAGGCCGGTTTTACTACCTGATCCACCCCACCAAGCTCACCTACGACGAGGCAGTGCAAGCTTGTCTCAATGACGGTGCTCAGATTGCTAAAGTGGGCCAGATATTTGCTGCCTGGAAGCTTCTGGGCTATGACCGCTGTGATGCTGGCTGGCTAGCGGATGGCAGTGTCCGCTACCCTATTTCTCGGCCAAGAAGGCGCTGCAGCCCTACTGAGGCTGCCGTGCGCTTTGTGGGCTTCCCGGATAAAAAGCATAAGCTGTACGGGGTGTATTGCTTCAGAGCATACAACTGAATATGCCCTAGAAAGAGTCAGTTCTCGGCTCAGAGGGAACACGTGAAAGGTTTTTTTTGTTTCTGTTCTTGTTTTTAATATGAACTCATGCAAGTTACCAAAACTGTGATAACCCTTTTTCACTTACTGTAAAGAATCGTTTTCATAAAGGCCAATTCATTCATTTGTTTTGTAAAGCTATCAGTCAATGTATATTATAAATTAATATAAGTATAAGGGAAGCTAAAGAATGGGCTTCAGAGCCTAGCTGATTTATGCTACATCATCCCCAACAAAATGCCATTTCATGAAAGGGGCATGCAATAGTCTGAGGATAACCAGGATTGTGTTAAGGAAAATAAGAAGAAACTTCCACAAGCACAAATTTTACATATTTCTACAACTTTGAAATGTACCTCACTAAACAAATTAGAACCACAAATTTGAAATACAGGCTTCTTTACAGAAACTGGGATTCTGGGAGGTGCAAAAAAAAAAAAAAAACTCAGTTTCACAAGAGAACAAATGAACACTTTTTCTAAAAGTTAATACTTCAAATCTCCAGTATACAAAATAGTTTACTATTTAAAATTCTACCTTTTTGACTAAAATGAAAAGCATATAGACTCAGATGCATAATAATTAAACCACAGTTAGAACTTCTAGGTCAACCCATTTATATGAAATATAGACTTGTATACACAGATAATATTTTACCAATGAGAGATTGCTACCTTCTAATTAAAATTGCCTATCAGAAAGAATTGTTTAATCATTTTTGAGTAGCTTCACTGAGTTATATTTAAATTCCAAGGGATCTTTGCTAAGCGATATTTAGAATTTACTCAGGGCAGTTGAAAAGATAAACTGCTGGACAGAAAACATATAAAATGTAGCAGCTTGATTTTATGTTAGCTTATAAAACACTATTGTCCTATAAAAATAACTTTGATCTATTTAATATTCCTTTCTTATTTACATTACATAATGGAAATCATCCAAATGAATGAACAACTCTACACTTGCTTAACTAAGAAATCAAGACTCAACTTCCAAAAATGTTGTTCCTGTCTGTACACACCATAGAGACCCCAAATAGGACCCATATTTTGGAGGGAAAAGTAAAAAAAAAAAATGCAGTTCAAAAGAGTCTCTCAAATAGAAAATACAGTGACTGTCAGCTTCCTTTCTGGTTACCATTTGGCAGAAATAAAATACTGACATTCACACCTAAGACTATACCATCAAGCTTTAAATAAAAAGTCAAGTCCAGGTTAAGAAAAAATGTTTTTCAATTTTGGCAACTCCAATCTTGAATAAAACTTCCTTTTACTGACTGCTGAGACCCCACAGAGACCAATATTTGTATCCAAGTAATTTTCTGTTCCCATTGTTTCACAGTGAATTCTGGTGTGGGCCTTAGTATAATAATCCAACTATAACATAGGTGGTGTGCTATTGTTAATGTTTCTAATGTAGATTCCCCCCAATGGACATGAGTAAATAAATCTGTTTCCTGAATTGATTGTGGTTGCATCTAAAGCTCTGTAATAATTGTAATAAATTCCCTCTATAAATTTAGAGTTACGTGTATGGAAGTTATAGAGCAGTTGGAAGTCCATGGAACCATAATTCTCAAGATATATTATCTAGATAAACTATTGTAAGTCCACCTAGATCCTTTCTTTTAGAAGTTTTAGTTTTAGAGCATGAGGATGTAGCTTTAAGTTAGGATATGCAAATTACACAAGACTATAAATCCAAAGAGATGATGAGGCTTCATGCAAACACTTCTGACTGAACTCAGACTTCTAAGCTAGACACAAGTTAAAGATAATGAATGGTCTAGAATATAATGAGTATATTATTTAAAGAGAAGACTTTGAACACCTTATGGGCAGGGCTAAGCTCTTTGGAGGAGGACCATACTTGAACAATCATTACCTATATTATAAGAATTTTGTCTGAAATGAAAGTAAGAAAATTTTGTGTTAAAGTGGGTGCATTCCTTTCAGTTATCTTCATAGAACTCCACATTTAGTCTAGTAGCATTTCTTAACTTTCGAATACTTAGTATAGGAAACGGTGCTGAACAAAATCTCCAAAGTGACTGTTAGCTGACTTGCATCTGTACCAATTGCATATCATTTGTCCATTCTTGTAAAAACATCCTAGAATGAACACTGCTGGACAGAGTTTTTAACTTCTGACTTCACACAAAGGACCCCAATGCTGGTGCCCTTTGAACTCCTATTTGAAAAGGGGTCTTTTAATGTTCTTGTCTGTTTTATTCCACCAAATATCTATTTTCATACTTCATATCTCATTATGAACGTCTTCAAGAGAAAAGCTCTCTTAGCACAATTCCTAACAGAAATCTGACATAACACTAATTCAGACATCACTCTTTAGACTTCAAGATTCCCAGAGTATCAAAGGAAGGAGATGACAGATAAATTGCAAAATGTTTTCATCATTTTGTCTTATGGCCCATATAAAGAACAAATTACACCCACACACTTACTGAGACTCCCTCTTTCGTTTGAAAACCCTAAGCCAAAAATAACCAAGTCATATAAAAATACAATATAAGGATGAAGATAAGTTGTCATATTAACACTGGAAGCCATCTTTTAATGACTGCTGCCATATTTTGTCACTGCAACTTTTAGCCAAATATAGTATTCGTAATTTCTTACCAAGGGGGCCGGCACCTGATAGTGTTATTTGTGCAGTAAGATGGTTGCTTGTTATTTTGGCAATTAATAGACTCAACTAAGATTCCGATTTGGTTGCTGGCAGCCATACTGGGTTTCTTGATTTCAGTACTCCTAAAAACATGTTTGTGTCATGGAGTAGCTGACCACTAAAGAAGGGAGGATTACAAGGGAATCAATCATCAGGTTTGGTTTAGTTTTGTTTTTGTTTTCTCTTTTATTTGTTTGTTTCACGTTGGTTTTACATAGAATACTTAGAGAAAAATCAATTGGCAGCCTGACAACTTTTTTGAGAAGTTAACTGTGTCATAGCTCATGACTGCCAGAACAGCACTGTACCGAAAAAGCAATGAATGATACAGAAGTAATTAAGCCACACAATTGGAAGAAAAGTTAATATTTAAATGCATTTAATAGTTACTAAGTGCAAGTTTGAGGACAACAAATCTGTATTATAATAAGACTGTTTTCGCTTTCTGTAAGATACAATGAACTGGTAACAAACATTAAAAGTCAATTTTGCTTTACTACAGTATCATTTGATTCTTCTAACTGCTAGAATCAGTCATTTTTCTTTGGGTCAAACCTGGTAAATACATCAGGCAATGGTCTGTTGCTGGTGCAATGTTTTGAACGAAAACAAACCCCAAGGAGTTAGACTTTGACATTCAAACAAGAAAATATACTTCACAACTCCCCCATACTGATCTGGCCTACATTAAACAACCTTGAAGAAAAGCAATTTCCAATAGAGAGGTCAATTAAATCTCCTTTTAGTGTTTAAATTCTTTCAAATGAGGGATAGTCTTTTCATTCTGTCATTGTTTTTCATATATTTTTAATCTTGTTATAAACAAAGTATGTGAGGCAAGATCAAAGATCCTATAGAGGTTCTTCATGCCCAAATAAAAGTAATTAAACCATTCAAGTGTGATGTGGTGCTTCCCTCCGAAGGACTTGGCTTAACACTACAACCAGATGAATAAGGAGAGTATTTGGAGGGAGGGGTTATTAAACAGCATGGAGCCTACTGAATTTTAGAAGAAATTGACATACTACTGGCTTCTGCATCAATTGCTTGGTCCCTTCATTTATGATCTTTAAGGACTCTGCAGCCTGGAATACAAAAACATAAATGACTCAGGGACAGATATTGGGGGTTCAAGTGGAAAATCAGGGAAGGAAATTAGTGGGCCACTAAGTCTTATCACTGCCTCAGGCTGAATGGGCTGATCCTGCTATCTCTTCTCAGCAAGGCTGAATACGAATACCCTGTCTTCAGTGTGGCTAGAGAAGGAATGCCTCATACTGAGTGCCAAAGACCCTGCTTCTATTTGTTATAGTGCTGGGACTAAAGGTGTGTGATCTGTTACTCTTTTAGACTGATTCATTCTTATGTATCCCTTGACCTCAGAGAGATCCATCTACCTCTTAATCCTGAGTCCTAGGATTAAAGGTGTGTACCACTACCTCCTAGCCTCTGGCTGCTGGGATTCTATGGCTTGTGGTAGACTTTGCTTTCTGAATTCCCAGCAAGCTTTGATAAATCATAAATAATAGATCACAATTCCCCTTTATTGTTTAAAACAAAAAGAAAGCTACAACTAACATAAGAAAACCAATATACAATAAGTGCAATAAGTATATACAATACATATAATCAATAAGTTTGCCAACAATGTCTATTACATTCACATTTGACAAATTCATATAAAATACTTCATTATCTATCCTATCTTGGTGAGTCCAAAATCTTGTTTACTTTCTATTCTAATTTTCATTTCAAAATATCTTTTAATGTCTTTCAAACCATTTACACTTTACATATCTTTAGCGAATTTCTTTTCTGAGTCTAGCAAACAATGAAAACTATCTAGTCTTTAACTCCCTCAGAGACCCAAGAAGAAAATGATATTGAGTAAACAGAAAGTGTGAGCAAGCCTTACTACTCAGGTGTGTGTGTGTGTGTGTGTGTGTGTGTGTGTGTGTGTGTGTATTTTATTTGATTAATGTTCCAAACATAGGGGAAAAATTGACTGCACATGTAATTTTTACAAAAAACAAACTTCAAATTTGTTTCAATGTGATTTAATATCTCTTCCAGGCCAGTAATTTGTTACCTCCACAGCCACTCACTATGTGAACATGTTGGCAGGCCAGGGTGGAAATCAATGATTTATGAGATCAAGGAACTTTCCTTTCTTCAATCTATCTCTTCTATTCTTGTTCTCTGAGGTGGTCCACACCACTTCAGCTATTAAAAGTTGGCTCTTTCATGTAGCAGATATCTGATTATATGACCAC